AAGAACAAACAAATCTAGAGCAAAAAGGAATGGCTGGAACAGGTTGACGGAAACAAATCCAAAAACCTAAATACAGAATGGAATGATAAACGGGAACAGCCTACATGTACAATGTATGCTCTCTTGATGTTCCCAGGTTTGTCCCAGTCAGAAAAGGTTGGTTTCATATGGCTTGCCAGATTGTCACATAATGAAAGTAATGACATAACATGCCAAGTCCCAAGAATCTATGCAACAACAAATGACCATTCAGCTTAATGAGCTCTTTATTTTCAGTCCTAGTAAGCTGAAGAGGGTTGTGAAGAGTAAGGATTATTTCAGTAAGGGTGTAGTCATCAATTTATCATACAAGTACTTGGCTCCACCACGCCCAGTTGGACTACTTGGCTCCACCACGCCCAGTTGGACTACTTGGCTCCACCACGCCCAGTTGGACTACTTGGCTCCACCACGCCCAGTTGGACTACTTGGCTCCACCACGCCCAGTTGGACTGCTTAGATAGTTGGAACTGAGGGAGCAATAGTGCAGCCCTAAGTTAAGAAGTGGGACAAATGGTATGGAGTGCAATTTGTACGTGTACATCAACATTCATGAAACAAAATTTATGGAGCACAAGAACTCACAAAATTAAGTCAAGTTAAATTTTGTTATGTACAAATATACTCTAAAACCTGTCCATATTTCCAACAAATGGGAATTAATGCGAAGAAATTTTGATAAAGCATAACAATTGTCAACAAACTTTGCACATATTGCAGTGGGTTCAACATTTGTGAATAAAAAAAGAAACCTTTTATAATGAAAATGTAAAAAAAACTAAGGATAGGGGCGTAAAAAAGAATTCTTGTTAAAGGAGAATCTTGTATTTAAAGTGCTGTTATTAACGAGGTTGGACTGTCATGACTGAACGGGTAGGCCTATAAAAACTTGTCACACACCTACTGACCTACTTGAAAGTTAAAAACATAACTTCTGTCTTCAGTGGATAATGAAGAAAATTTCAAAGAATTCAGAGTTGCAGAGCTACGTGTACTTAGATGCCAGTTCACATTTTTATTCAAGTGGATTGTGAAGGAAGTTTCATGTCACAAAGCATTTATGCCAAAAAGTTCAACAAAATCCCCACGTCCAATTTTGTGAGATTTGAGCTGTATGCTAATGTTGTTGATGACGTCACAACGCGCTGGCCTAACGGACCATTCACAAAATAGCACAAGCATGCCGAGTCGGAGCGGCACAGGTGCGCCGGTGACTTTTTCCCGAGAGGCGTAATGTGCATTGTGCTGTTTCCATGTGGTCATTGCCACTGAACGTGGTGGAGAGTTTCTGTCCCCAGTGGTAATCCGCTCGCTCTAAATGCCTCAAACCGTGGTATACTGTTACAAAACAAGGCTGGATTATCTCCACTATTGAGAGTGAAAAAATATCGGTAATGCCCAGCAGCTCAGTCTTTTGTGCCGAGCACGGTCTTTTGTTATAAAACCCGACTCTTTTGTCCCAGTTCCGGGCTCCCCGGCTCTACATATAAAGCCTATGTACATGTATGATGTACTCGAAAACGGTCGCCCGGCAGGTAGTGAATAAAATAAAGACCCACGTACACAAATGAAATTACTCTTTTGTGTTTCAGTGAACTTTTTTTTTAATATTTGATTTCTTATTTTATCTGTATTTTGGGCCCCTTTTCGGTTTTATGCTCTGCTCATTTGCAAAAGTTGATTTAATCCAAGGCATTTTACATACATGTACCGTACCTTACCTCACTATTAGATTGATTTATGCACAACAAAGTGCTAGATTTTTTATGCTTTGCTGTCAAAGACTTCCAACTCCTTAGACAATTTATTGTCTCATACATGTCAAAGACTTCCAACTCCTTAGACAATTTATTGTCTCATACATGTAAGTATACACGTATACTGTATGGCAGTAAACCAGTCAGCAAACTTATTGCTAAACTGTTTTAACAAGATCAAATTTGGAGTTCAAAATGTGAACATGAAAATATGCAAACTGAATAGTGTCTTCCTGGATTTACATCACACTAACAGCGCCCTCACTTGTCTGGAAAAGCTTGGTCAGTTTTTAATTTAAAAAGTGCACTGTACAGTTTGTACATTGTACATTGGAACTCCTAAATGATTTCAAAAGGGTTCATCTGTTGAAGAAGGCTTGATCGTGCACAAAAAGTGATTCTAAGAAAAATTTTGTTGCATTGTTCCTTTAAGCCTGGGTCATTACATACCTGTACCCGTACATGTACAGGTATATGAATATGTGGCAACAGTAACATGTGCTTTTACAAACATTCATGAGATGACACATGAAAAACTAAATTACAATAACAGTAGCCCCAAAACTTTCAAGTACTGGTGGCTGTCTGTCTTGCTTTAAAGTCAAATGTCAGGAAGATCACAGGGTTATATTTCAGGAGTGTAATGAACATGCTGGGTGTAAACTGAATCATATTCAACAAACATATGGTAATGTGAGCTGTAAAAAGTGCATGCATGTTTACAGGGTGTAGGTTCTGTATTAGTACAGGTTTGGTGTAGTGTACATTTACTGTACAGGTGGTGAAATTTTCACTGTACGTGTACATGTACCGGTACATGTATGTGTACAGGGTCACTTACATTGTACTTAATGTACATGTATGTACATTGTACACATTACATGTACATGTACATGTAGGTGCAAGGTGAGCACATTGGGACTTACAGCTTACACCTTTGGGGTGCTTGCATTTATGAACACTGCTGCGCATGGTGTAAGCATACTTGTTGCATGTGCATGAATGGAGTTAATGAATGTACATGTACGTGAATTGGCAAATTATGTAAATCTGTGGTGTATTCATATGAGATGAAGGGGTTCCACGCACAAGTAGTCCATTGATTATATCAACATTATCACTAGTCATTTGCAGCGGCCCCCGCCATTGGTAGTAAGCTTTGTGGTAACAGCTGGTATACTAGTCATGAAACAAAATATATAGGGAAACTGACCAGGTACTTTCATGTAATTATAAAGATGAACAAAAAAATTGACTGGAGCGGGATTTGAACCTCTGGAATACCATGCTGTCACTCTACTGATACCAAATGAGCTATGGGACCCCTCGTTCAGTCGAGATTGTTACCACATGTGGGCATAGAAACCTGTCCCTACTAGTACAACAATTTTTGTCCAAATTTATCTTCAAATTATCTTTAAATTTCCCAAGTTGGAAATGACGAATTTTAAATCCCATCAGTACAAATGTGTTCTAGAACTTCTGGTTTATGTCTGTGGTCAGATTTTTTTGTGCAGCCAATGAAATTTTTGCAATTGAAGTTTTTCGTCAGTGTTTTTTGTTCTGTGTGCTTCAACGTTTTAAGAAAAGCACACCAACTGGAGCGGGATTTGAACCTGCGACCTCTGGAATACTGCACTGGTGTTCTACCAACTCAGCTAGATTTGGGTCGGCATGTTTCTGTATTTCTGCATGGTTATTTTGAAAAAAAAAAACAATCCGGCTTACTCTCTGCTTGATAGAAAAGCAGACACTAGTGAAGTCATGCAGTTAGAATGATTATAGATATTTTCATGTTAAGCAAGGCATTTACAACTGAAATTACATGTACATGTACGTCTTCAAGTTCGTGTGATGTTGGCATGATGCATGTGCCGTCTATTAACCAAGAAACTTTACCGTAATTCTTAAAACTCTAGAGCAAATGAAGCTTACGTGCCAATCAGAGTTGTGATCCTGCAGATAAAGCCAGATTAGATTTGGCATTTTTCAGTCTCAAAGGGGTTGCGAGTGGGAGAGGGCTAGTTTATGGTGTCAGAGTGTGCTTGGTATAGATTACTTTCCATTAGCATTGCCAGCAAACAGTTTAGCACAGCACAGTGTGACAGTTTGAGAAGACAATTGCTAGCTTATTTGAGCGGCTTGCAAGTGCCATACCGGTACACATGTACATGTTAACCTACTAACCTTTGAGAGCCTAAGACTTGTCCTCAATCATCCAAAATGCACAGCACAGTCTTTCAAGGGGCTGCAACTCCCTTGTGAAGAAATAAGTCCTGGAAGATCCTGTAAAAACCTGCAGGTGGATTATGAAGGATCTTGGCAGTTTTAACCATTTGTTATTATGGTCGTTGTCTATGCATTGTATTGTGCTGTAGGGCCACGGATTGTGGGCTCCCACATTTGATTCCTAATGGGCTTCTGATTCCAGTACATGTACATTGTATATCCCTTGAAAATTCTTTTACTGGCTTAATTAATTTTTTGGTTTTTTGCCCTGCCCAACGTGAATTTCAAAACTGCATGCTCATCTGATTCAAACCAGCCAGCCGACACCAGCAAGCTCGGTGGTCCAGTGGTTAAGACGTCTGCACTAGAAAGCAGGATGTCTTGGGTTTTAGTCCCACCTGAGTACCCTTTCAAGTGTTTTTTTCCTCAAGCCTTCAGAGGCATACACTGAGCATGCACTGTTGAAATACACATCGGAAAGGGCAAAAATCCAAAATTAATTTGCATCTCCCCGGCGCAAATCCATCCTTGAAATAATTTTACTGGCTTGCCGGTCGACGTCGGTATCCACACATGCTTCATTGGTTACTGTTCTTTGTTGTTGGTTGATATTCAGTGAGTGAGATTGACGTAGGTTTAACTGGATAAATATTTAATTGATCACAGCTTCCGGCGTCATGAAAAGGAGAGGAAGTTGTATCAGTTTTTTGTTTAAGTATTGAAAAGGTGCAGCAATTAGGAGCTGTGCATGATTGCAATGTGATGGAGTTGCATCAGGCTGACTTTTTCCCAACAATACAGATTATGCAGAACACACTTCAATTGATTTGCAGCAACAAGAAATGGTTACATTGCATCATCAAATGTGTCTATTTTGACATATGGATACAAATGTAAACCCAGCTTTCTTCCGTTAAGATTACCAGTCCGTGCTCACTTATTTCCTCAGTTGTGTATTGGTTTTGTTACTTCCAGATCCCAGTAAAATGTGCCACAGCAGGAAATAGTAAAGTCTCCAATGGCAGCATGGTCACCAATCACGATTCACCCTCCCCAAGGAAGGACACCAGAGCTCCCCATGGCTCATCTGGACTTCACAGCCCGACCAACAATCGGAGGACTTCTCAGTCGAATTATGACACGCTCCACGTCGATGTGGAACTTGCCAACCGCCGCTTTGGGACAGTGTCCCCTGGCCGACGTTGTTTATCCGATTCGAAGCTCAGTGTCCGCAAGAGGCAGAAGAACATCCCAGCCTCTTCGGCTCACAAAAGGAAACTAGAGTTCCCACCATCAGTGTCGCCCCCGTCAAAACGGAGGCGATCAGAGGGAGCGAGCAGTTCCAGCTTGCCAGGGTCACCTTTGCTGCAAAGAGATGCCTCTGGAAAGCATGTGGATCACAACCAGAACTTCAAGGAAGTCAGGGAAAGTAGCAGTGGTAGAACTATATGTAATTCTGTGAGTGGAGGGGTGGAGTATAAATCCGAGCACAGCATCGGCTACAGGAGGGCCTCTGCGCAGATTGCAACATTCTCGGAGGCAATGCTGGCAAGCCCACGGAAGCATGTGACGACGCTGCAGCCAAAGAATACAACAGTGACTTTGATGAGCCACAAACTGGAGATTCCGGATGGTTGTGGAAACAATCACCTGTCAGAGACCAAGAAGAAGATCCCAGCTCTTGAGAATTTATCCGAATTACCGTGTAACAAGAAAGGTACAGAGAAGACAACCACACCTAGTACACCCGACAGTTTGTCAGATGACATTAGTGACAAATTCCTCAAAGTCGATAATGACATACTATTCAAGAAGGAGTCTGCAATAGACATTGTTGTGACAGACTGTGACGGAGTGCCACAAAGTACCGAGGCTCAGTGTAAGGAAGGTCTGAGGAATAGTGCTCTTTCAGAGACTCCAAATTTTCCTGGTGAAAAGGAGAGCCCCTCAGATACACACTTCAAGTTCGTGCCGTCAGATAGCTATGAAGATGAGTCCTCAGTGTTCACCGAGGATTCCAACACGACAGATGACAGTGCCCCAAAGGATGTAGCAAGTACTAAATCAAAGAAGCAGTATACAAAAAAGAAGTGGCAAGACGTGCAGCCAAGGGCACCTCGGAAACGCCGCATCGCCAGCCTGACTGCTGAGACCAAAGTGCACCTGCTCTATGAGAAGGACGAGGTGGAAGGACCTAAGAAGCATGCTGGCACCAAGAGTGCCAGGAAGAACTCTGATGCCGTTAGCCCAGGGATGGGTGTTCCAGTGACTCTGGCTGCGACAACTCCAAACCAGGGTACAAGAACGACACCCTTCACGTCATGCAAACACCAAGTTGTCGCACAGTCAGGTGCCTCCATGCCCTGCACTGACTGTGTGCAGCTTTATTACTCTCTCTCCCTGAAGCAAACCCAGGAGCAAGACGGACCAATAAATCTGGACCTCAAGGACCAGAACTGCAGTTCTTGCTCATGTAGTAAGGGTCGTTGTTCGTCATGTGTAGCCCCATCCAGAACAACGGACCCTCGGGGTCGTTGCAAAACCATGAACGAAAATAACCACCAGGCCCCGGTGGTACACAGCCCAATGTCGGCCCCGGTTGTCAGCTCCTCCAAGAGACCTACGTTGGTTCCAACCAACATGAGGAGAGCCACAGTGGACGCAGCTGAGTGCCAGAAGTTGACGTCGTTTCTGAAGAGCCCCCTGATGCTCAGAATGTCCAGACATTCCACGGACGTAGAGAGTGCCCCAAACGGCATGCCAGGATTAGTCGATGAAACATTGGAGCAACTTTCCCTTTTACAAACAGGTAAACAGTTGATAGAAAATGACATATACGTTACTCATCTTGTGCTATTTCTGGATCGTAATAGACCCTATTCATGTTGAGGCCATTTTTTATCTTATTTCCCAACTCTGTTTTATACATGTATATATTGCAAGCTGTCGATTAGGATGGCACCGGACTGTTTTCAATTTCGGTGTGTTCCAAGCCTCCCTTTCAATAATTTTCAAAATCTGGCGAGGTGCAATTCTTTGTGTTCAATCATTAATTTGAAATTATTCGTCAGAGTACACAGGTGCAAGTTTGTCTTAAAATTTTATATTATTGCTTTCATTCGTACTCTCAACAATCAAAAATGAAGGGTTACATGTAACCTCGCTTTCAAGTTAAATATGGCTGGCCCCGTGAATAAGGTCTATTGCTTCACAGCTGCAGTTCATGCATTGTTATTAACCCCTATTCCGTGTTTGCTAGGGCATGGCCTTAGTCCTATCTGTAGCACATGTGGGGATGATTTCATGTCTAATTGAATCCTAAATTTATGCATGGCTGAGCATTTACTGTAAGCAACACAAAATCTAACCCAAGACCTTGACACATTGCATCCTTTTCAACCAGACACACTTTTTTGGCATTCATCCTCATTCCTCCAAAATTTTCCTAAATTGCTGGGAGGATTTTGGAGGATTGAAGGTGGGTCAGGTTAAATTGCAAGTCCAGACAAATGCTTCACTGTGTTCTGTTGTGCTTAACCTGTACTCAACTGCTTTTAAGGGACAAAAATTGCATAGTGGTAAATGTTCAACCAGCAGTGTGGTAGACCTGTGCTTGCTGAATCCAGTCAAATCCAGCATAATTTGTAAAAACCCAACACCTTCCTTTTCAATGTCTTGGTGAATTCAGGAAGTCGTGCACTTTTCCTCATACATGTACAGTACATGTACATGTAGGGCTTGGTTGACATGCGTGCAATGAGCCAAGTCCATGTGGCTGCACAGTTTGGGAAGGATTCAGGAAGTGTTCTGGTAGAAGTACCCAGGAAGTATACTGTGTGTACGTGTAGGCACTAGACAGGATTGGGCCTTCTGAACATACATGTAGGTGTACTAGTTGCGTCAGAACCAGGTCCCAAAATACACACCCGGCCACTCACGTCTGGAAATGATTCCAAACTATGCGACTGGGTACCCCTCACAAGCATTGAAAGCCACCACTGCCAGTCACATCTCAATGAAAAGGAAAGTTTTTGTGAAGGTACATGTATATGTTCTGATATTTTTAGAAAGCACACGGTACATGTATACATATACATGTACATGTATGTGGGGCCGGTGCTGGCCAGTGCTAGCCAGCCTTTCAAATCACGGGTTGGCAAATGGAATGAATATGAGGCTTGCTGGCAGGCACAAAAAAAATGGGGAACAAACTGTGGAACAAAAGTACTGGAAAGATGGACTTGCATGTACGATTCATTTTCACAGAGCCTTTCACAGTTTAGCTACAGTATGATTGTAATTTTGTAAGTTTTTCAAAAGAACATTGAAATACTTGAACTCAGCGTGGTCTGTAAACCCGTACTTTCCTCCCGTTTTATTTCAAACATCAATATGTACCTGTACATATGGACTGGTATGTTTGTAGAGTTGCCCCGCATTCTTTTGCTCCTCATTGAGCTCATCCATCCTGCGCACAAACAGCTGGCTGTTAAACTTTTTCTAGCGACAACTCTAACACATGTACATTTACATACATGTACATCTGTGGTCATTGTAAATGGTAATGCATACTTTCTCATTCATCACTGACAGAGACAAACAGATGGTTAGTAATTTTTCACAACTGCTTTGTACCAGAAGGTTGTTTAAAAGAGTGTTTTGGAAAAGACAGAATTGGATGCCATTTATGGTCTTACACTTTACAGCATGGGACCTGTAAGGTACCGGTACCTACATGTACCGGGGGAGCCCCTGTAGATGATCTGAAAGAATGACAACAATATTAATCATGCCTGATTTTTAGGAATACCGAGAGCCTAAAATCGTGAGTGAACCGAATTTAAAAGTGTACATGTAGTTGAATTCAAAACAGCTGCTTTTTGCCCACACATGTACATGTATTTATCTCTTCTGCTTTTCAATATTTGCGTTGTTTTGGTACTAAGATAAAAATTTGTGATACATGTGGGATGTTAAATGCAGTCTGAATTTTCCCTTAGTTGCCAGAGAGATTTACTGTCACTTGCCCATCTTGTGATTTACACGTACATGTAGAATCCCCTGTGCTATACATGATGTATCTTTATTTGCATTCAGTGGCTTGCTTTCCTATCTGGCTGAATTTCCTAAGGTTTCACTGGACTGAATTCCATTATTCCCCGATGGTGATGATGCTGTTTGTACTGGTATGTGTGTGTGGGGGGGGAGGGAAAGGGTAGTGGCTGTAACCAGATTAGTCTGTCAGGATTGAATCCCATGTGAAGCTTCTGAAGCCATGCTTATTACACAGAATTTGGAAAGGATTGTGTCTAGGCCTGAGCAGTACTGACTGCATTCACCATAGTCAGTAGCATGGTACTGGTACAAGCGTGCATGACCACACGTGCACATATGCACGTCAGTCAGAAACCGTCCACACATTGTCAGTGCACATCACGAGCACTTTTAAGTCAACAAATGTGGAACCTATACATTGTAATTGTGTACCCATGCATTATGGGCAAAACAGTTACTGGGATTGGGAAAACGGGAGCTTTAACTGTCAGGAAATTTGGCATTTTATTCAAGGAAAACAAGCTTTGCCATAGAGCTTGCAAAGGAGTGGCCAAGTCACCATATCCTGTCCAGTTTGGACCAATTCCAGTTTGTCTTTAGCCTATCCATTACATGTACCATTGTTTATTTTGTCAGCTGATAATGTATTCAGGTACATGTATACCAAATGCATGTTGGTAGCTTTTATTTTTACCCATTAACCCTAACCCTCCTCAATCCTCCAACAGGTGAAGGATTGAGGAGGGTTAGGGTTAATATGGACCCCTCCAGCAGCTTCAGTCACCACACACATTTTTTGTTGCACCAGTGAACAGTTGTTATATTTATACAAATCTAATTTTCTAAGGACAGAAAATTGTTGGAAAAAGTATATACCGGTAAATTTCTTTTCTGTCAAAAATGGCAGGATTCCAGGCAGAAAGATTTCACAGATACCGTACATGTAGTTTGTCAATGTTATTTATATGTACAGTAAGATTCGACCAATGATGCTTTACCTTTAAAAACTCTTGCCCACAAAGCACAGGCCCTTTACACAGAGGGCAAACATGTACCGTAACTTACAAATGATGGACCATCAAAAAGAGCAAAAACCTTGCATTTGCTTTCTCCGTGGCCCTTTTTAAAGTGAAAACATGGAGGGCCGACACCTTTGTACACATACCGGTATGTGCCAGTATCAATGCACCTCTACAACCAGCTACGTATAGTATCCCTACAGTAGGAGTGGTTTTGTTGGCCAGATCATCTGGATTGAGTTGTAGAGACTTTAGCCTTTTTGGTGCCCATCATATGGGGTCAGTTCGTAAGTCCGACGCCTCATACATGTAGGTCCGATGCCTCAATAAGTCCGAAAAATGCCTTAAAAAAAGTCTGTACATACATGTATGTAAGTCTGACGCCTCAAATGTCTGATGATTGTTTATTTGTTTATTTTGGCCTATACTGGTAGATCCTACGAATCATTAGTCAGATGCCTCGTAAGTCTGAAATTTTCGACTTTTGAGGCATCGGACTTATGAGGCGTCAGACTTACGATACGGACCTCATACATGTACATTGTACAATGCAGAGTGCATGTTAGTTCTCCACTACTACTGAACACGTGCACCAGTACGTAAAATTTCGTAACATGAGCATGTACGTGTACATGGAGGTAGATAAAATTGGGTGTACATGTACATATACACGGACTGGCTTGAATTGATTTGTTCATGAGCAGAGTGGCATTTCCCCATTGTATTTTTGATACACGCTAAGTGAGGACAAAGTGGGAATCAATGTCTATTGTAGCACTGTTTTCCCATCTATGCGCACTTCAGTCGTACTCAAACTTACTGTACACAACATGCAGGGCCCACACATGGACATGTGCACCACTCGTTTTTTGATTCGGTAGCAGAGGGCCAGCTGTCCATGAAAAGTACAGTGTGCAGTTGTTTGTGTGTGCACTGTGAATGCAAATGAATTAAGCACGTGGTGCTGGTCTATATTTAGGAACAGTGTTGCTTCATCAATGTAGTTTGACATTCGGGGTTCAGTAGGACCACCTGCACCTCAGTGATGATTGTTCGAGACCCTGTGATGCATTGTAAGGTACAGTGTACCCCTACATGCACATCACTAGTCAGCCATATTAAATTGAAAGTGAGGTGAACCTAAGAATAAGATTGAGAGCAATGGAAAAAAAGATCCTTCCTGTTAATTTTATTTACATGTACTGGTACTGGTAGGAAGATGAATAATTTGAAATCTTTAATGTTTTAAGCAACATTGACAAAAACAACTAAAAGTGAGGCATGGAAACTTAAATAGTCTGGCAGCACAGCCCATTCCATTGAACAGCTTTCAGTGCATTCGGGGAGCATGATCAAAAATGGCTGCCTTTATGAATAAGGTCCGTTGGTGACACAAGTTATGAGAATTTCCGAAGCGAGGTTTTGTAAATGGACACTCCAATGCATGCACGCTGTATGTACGTGCCGGTATCTGTGGGGTCTGTTACTTCTAGCGTACCGTTACATGTACATGCATGTACTGTACGGTACATCCTTCGCTGATGACACATTTGTGGCCTGTGATGTACAATGTGACCCCTTTCAATATGTAGTCATGCATGATTGTATAAGTTAATTGAGAAGCAGGTACCATAAGGTTCACCAATTCATCACTCATTTCCAGTGTTGGAGTCGAGTCCACAACCTTTGAGTCCAAGTTCAAGTCCGGGGTCTCCAAGGCCAAGACAGAGTCACT